ATAATAATAGAAGCACTACCATTTATAGAATCTGTAGTATGCCAGACACACACATCATCTTGATCACACAGTTCTCAGGTAGAAGAACAAGAATTCAAACTCAGGATGTTTGAACTTGAGGGACAAGGAAGTGTAGCAGGAGCTACAATAAGTTTGTACCATGTACAAATGTGCATAAAAGAGGAGGTAACTGATCTTACCTGGTGGGAATGGCGTTGATTTGTAGACAGACCGGGTTGTTGGAAAGCTTCACAGGGGGTGATTTGTGAGCTGAATTTTGAAAAAATGATTGGGTATTCATCAGAATGATAGGGCAAAGTGTTCCATGCAAAGGGAACAGTGGGAATAAAGGAATGGAAGTTTGAAAGAACCTGCTATGTTCAGGAAACTGCAAGCAATCTGCATGGCTTGGGAACTTAGTGGGTGGCAAGACAATATAGATTAGTTAGGAGAAGGAAGCAGGGGGCTAGATCACACAGAATCTTACTTGCCTTTCCAGAAAATTTGAGCTATGTTTCAAACTTTTCCAATGAAGTAGATGTAATAGCCCAAAAAAAGAGTAAATAAACATCCCCAAGGAATCTAGTGACTTAGTCTGAAGTTCTTCAGACTAGTAGAAAATTTTTGAAGTCTGTTTTCTCTTAATAATGCATGTATGCTAAATTTCCATTCTTTGTTTTAAATTACTTACCTTAAATTTAAATTACTTACCTTACAGGTAAAATGAACATTCCAGGATGATTTTATCTTGACTTTCAGTATGCCTGGCACACCGCCCCTACCAACCACCAGGTACATGGACACCAGTTTGAGAAACACGGGGAGTGAACTATGAAAAATATTTTAATCAAGGTAATAATTGATGAGATCTGCAGTTTAGGAAGCACTATCTGGCAGCCTTTGGAAGACAAGTTAGAGTGAGCGGGACTGGAGATAGGAAGTCTAAACAATACTTTTAGTGAGAGAGGCCCAGAGCCTAAACTGTAGGGCAGGATAGATAAACACTGGGGAGACAGAACTGATAGGATTTGGTATCTGATTGGGTATAGGGGGGCTGGGGACATAGAGGGGGAATAGGTTAGGATGGTTTCCGTATTCCTGGCTTAGGCCATGCCCAGGAAAATTAGAAGAAAAACAGGTGTGGAGGGAAGAAGGATAATTGGATTTGGGCATTCAGGTACCTGTGGACCATACAGGTAGAGATGCCCAATAGGAATCTGCAGCTCAGCAAAGAGGTCTGGGCTGAAAATAAAACTTGTTTGAGTTATGCACATAAAAGTGGTAATCAGACGGGCACAGTGGCTCACGCCTGTAATCCTAGCACTCCGAAGGCTGAGGAGAGAAGATCGCTTGAGGTCAGGAGTTTGAGACCAGCCTGAGCAATAACAAGACCCCGTCTCTACTAAAAACAGAAAAATTTAGCCAGGCATGGCAGCACATGCCTGTAGTTCCAGCTACTCAGGAGGCTGAGGCAGGAGGATTGCTTGAGCCCAGCAGTTTGAGGTTGCAGTGAGCTATGATGATGCCACTGCACTCTAGCCAGGGTGATAGAGCAAGACTGTGTCTCAAAAAAAAAAAAAAAAAAAAAAAGTGGTAATCACAGAGAAAGCAGGTGGAATAAAAAGAAAAGAGGGTTAAGGACAAGTCCTAGAGAATAACAACATTCAAGAAGCAGGCAGATATATAGAAATCCAAAAGCTCCAGAGAAGGAATGGCCAGAGTAGATGAACAAAGAAGAGTGTGCACCCTAGAAGCCAAGGTGGGGAGAAACAGACTTAAAGGAAGTGGTCAGTACTGTCAAATTCTGCAAAGAGATTAGGTAATATGAGGATTAAAAAAACTCTGGATTTAGCCATTTGGTCAACAATAATCTATGATACAGTTTCAGAGGAATGGCAGAAGTACCAGCCCAACCACAGGGGCTGAAAAGTGAATGGGAGATGGAAGAAGAGACAGTGATTATAGGCTCTTTATTTCAGGAGTGTGGCTGTGAGTGAGGCAGTGAGAAGGGATGTCAGGTCAAGAGGGATTTTTTAACGTGGAAGAGACAGTTAAAATGGCACAAGCCAAGGCCATGGAAATGGATATATCCCAGAGAAATTAGCAAAAAGAACAAGGATGGTCTGCATGGCTACAAGGATGGACAACAAAAGATGAAAATTCAAAATAAGCACGAACTAGGGAAACTGGGGTAAGGGCAAGGGAAGGCAGTGGAATGGCAGAGAGAACATAGGAAGGGGAGCAACTCAGGGCACTTGACATTTGATTCAGTAGGAAAGGTTATCGCCATATTGAAAAAGTGAGAAGAGGCTCTCTGGTACAGATATCTTGCCCAGGGTAGAGAGAGATGTTTGAGAGTCAGAGGGTGACTTTTGACATACATGTTGGAACTTGTAACTTATGGTAACTTGCCACCTCTTTGATGAGTCTTCACTAGAGAATGATATGAAAGCTAGAAAACAGTTTTGGGGTAATGGTCTAAAGGGATGTTGGTATGTTAAATTGTAGATGATAGGGAGAACTGTAAGAACAGTTTATAGGAATTTGAGGGATTTGGGGGCTGATATAGGAAAAACTTGGCCTATTTATGTAACACAGTTGTGCACTGAGGAAAACAAACAAAATGCCTGGGGAAAAGGGGCTTGAAAATCATTGCCAGAGACTTTAGGGCTAGAAAAGATCACTGGGATCCCCCAGGTGAGGAAACTGAGGCCCAGGGAATTCAGGTGCCTTGTCCATGATGTACTCAGGGAAGCTGCCATGTCCAAATGGTTGCTGACATCCTGAGAGTATGTGACTCACGGAGAGACCACATAGGAACCCAAGAGCTGCCTCAGCGACACATGGGAGCTCAGAAACAAGAGATAGAAGTTAAAGAGAGGAAATTTATCCCGTGGGACAAAACACATGTTGAAGTGATAGGGCACCACGGTCTGTCTAACCGTGGAACAGAAAACCCTGTTTGCAGGGTGGAAGCCCTTTCCAGTTGTTAGCCCCTGTGCATTCAGGTTTTCAGGAAATAGCTATGTCAAGCCTCCCTAGGTAAGTGCTGTTAACCCCCAGGACTAAACAGATAAGGGACCACAGCCCCTATTCCTACTCCTGGCCCAATGCTAAACTTCAATAGGCTATTTCCTAGTGCCCCACTCACCCCTCCACCCCACTAATTCTGGAGCAGATAGAAAAGGCAGATGGAAGAAAATGTATACCCCTTAGTGGTTCATCTGGACAGTAATCAGGAACTGACCCAGGGTAGGCGTTTGGAAGGATTCAGCCTCTGTCCTGCCTGGTGCTGGGATCGGCTCACACGGCTCCTGTGTCCACAGGGCACAGAGAATACATTGTCCATAAGGAGGATTATTCTGTACAAGAAACTCAGACAAAGGGAGAGGTTGTTTCCAGCTGCCTGGGGGAGGTGAGAAGGGGGTGGGAAAAGGGACCAGCCTTGCACTGGGGCATTCCTGCAGAATTCAGCTTCTTCCCTTCAGCAGCAGGACAGGAGATGGGCAATTGCAGCCCTGCCAGCTCAGTCCGATTCCTGGGACCCATTAAGGCAATGGAAGCAGCACTTGGCTACAATCTCTCTTGGCTGTTTCCCAAAAAAGTACAGGGTTCAATGAGGTGAGCCAGCTTTGCAGGGCAGCAACAGACACCAGAAGGGGAAGAGAACGGGATGCCTGGGAAATGAACAAAAGGCGGGCTTCAGCGGTGACCAAATCTCAGGCTCAGGCAGAGCTGGAGAGGGAGAGGGCCTAGGCAGTGGGCTTCCTGCTGACATTGACTCTATAAGCTCCGACTTTCAGTGGGATGAATTCTGTGCTACAGCAAGTTCTTGAGGTTTCACAGCTGCTGCTTCTTTCTCCATCCTAGACACAAACCTGGGAGACAATGGGCTAATCGCTTTCTCCAGAGACCCCAAGAGTAGAAGGCACAACCTCCAAGCAATACAGGGCATTCAGAAACAGAGGAATATTACCAAAGGAGGCTGAGAGAGTCACCTCTGCAAATCCTAAATCTGAGCAAGCAGGTCATGTCCTCTTCAAAGGAAATGCCATATATATTTCCCTCCTGAGGGAATAAGCGTTAGGGGTGAGAGATACATATTCTCCATTGAGGTGTTTTCTGGGCAGTATGAACCCCAAAGTGGGAGATCCTACAGAGGCTTGTGTACCCCAGAGAATTTTGAGGAGGGGATGGAAATGAGAGCATGTGGCCCCACAGTGACAAATATAGAGGTGAGAGTGCCTCCACAGTGTTTGCTTAAGGAGTGTTTGCTTAAGCACGCAAGATAGGTGACATCCTATGTTCCTCTTGGGGCAGGAGGACATTTCCACTCCTGGAGGACAAGGAATCCATTTCAGTAGTGCTGGGAATGAAGTCATATTAGCCAGGGACAACAAAGAAACTCAGGGTTGGTGCATTCAATAGGAGGGAATCTTTTGGTGGAATAAAGGACAGCAGTCACCAAAAGACAATCCAGGGGTTTTAGAGAAGCACAGCTTGAACTCTTTCCAGCATGACAGTTGGCTCTGACATTTCCAGTGGGAAGGGAAGAGATGAGAAGATAAAGAACACCTGAGAGAGCTGATGACCTGGACCCTTTGAGTGGAGGAAAGGTCTGGCATTGCCTCAGAGCTGACCACAGGACTCCCCTGATGCTGTGTATTGTGGTCAGTGAGCCTGTGGATACCACTTCTTGTCTTGATGGAACCAGAACAGATGTGACATCTGGGACCACTTTTCCAGTCCTTTGCTGCCACAGCCTGGCAGAATTCTGTTTGGCACTGAATAAATGCCAAAGTACCAGTGTGTGACAGAACAGAAAAAAGACAGCTGGAAGGTATGAGCAGGAAGGAAGTCTTAGGATTTTTAAACCAAAGCTAATTAAAGGTAAGAAAACTGTTAATGGAGAACAAATTAGAATTGCCTTGCAGCAAACTTCAAATTGTCTCTGATCCCTACGTGGTGCTCTCATAAACTGCTATCAGACAACCCTGAGCCAGTGAACATCAACTTAAATAACCTTATTCAGAGGAATCCTTTGGTCCACTTCTGCTGACTCAACCCCTGCCCCTACCCACAAACGAGTGCTAAGAAAGGCATCTTAGGCTGCATGTCCAAACTCACTCTGTTCTTCAACTTTATAAAAGCAGGCAAAGCTCCTGGGGGCTGCCCCATCCCACCATCAGTCCAGCTCCTGTTTGAGCCACAGGCTTAGTGGAATGGAGAAAAGCCATCCGGGTTAGAGTCCAGGAACTAGCCACTATTATGAGGACAACTAAATCCCAATGACAATGGGAAATGCAATGCCCCTCTCCCTCCAAAATAAGAAAAATCAATCCAGGGGAAGGGGCTTTTTCACGTGGTAGGGAAAAACTCTTTTTTATACAGTCCTACCTGGCAGAGGTACATCCTGAGAAATCACCCACCTATCAGCCCTTTGACATCATCCTTCATGTGTACAGGGTGGGGTAAAGGATAGGGGACTTTGTGCCTATTTCCCAGGTAAGAGCTGAATTGGCTTCTCAGAGGATGAAGAGCAGAGCAAGCCCGAGCTTCACCAGAGCTGTAGGTGGACAGTTTGGCCCAGCCCAGAAGCCTCTTCACCTGCAGCTTAGAGGGATAGCCATGATGGAACTTGGGCACGAAGGCCTGCAGAGACAGTGTAAGGACGCAGAGGCTGCTACAGTTTCTGGCAGCAGAAAATAAGCACAGACTTATTTGATCTTGTGTCCATTAGCTCACCATTGACATGAAGCAGTATCAGATCACGGTAAGTTCTGGATCAAGAATTGTGGAGGGTGGTAGGGAGAAGTGGCCATAGAAACTATCATTTATTGAATACCCATTATTTCATATACTGTGCTAAGTGCTTTACATTCATTTTCTCATTTTAATCCTCACAACAACCCTATGAGGTAGGTATTATTACCATTTACAAATGAGAAAACAGGCTCTGAAAAATTAGGTCACTTGCTCAAGGTCACACAGCTAGTCAGTGGTAGAGCTGGGATTTGTCTGTTGCCGAAAGCCCATGTTCTTTTTATTGTACCCATCTAGGTGGGCCTTGAGCAAAAGGTAATTTCACTGCTCAACTCTGCAAAGGGCATCTGGGAGCGGAGGTTGCCAGCCACATTCACCGCTGGTAGGGATGCATTGAAGCCGACTTGATATTGGTTTTTATTCCACTTGGCATTTTCCCTAAAAGAAACATGAAGAAAGACTTCTGAAGCAAAGTAAGACTCTCATGAAAAATCAGAAATGTGGTATCCTCAGGTTCCCTTCTGCCACTTCCTTTGTCATCTCAGAACCTCTGTGTGGTATCTGACCCGGGTTGGCAGAGATCAGAGGTGTAGTTCTTCACCCAGCTCTGTCCCTGAAGGTGTCTAGGAGGAAAGGAGTGATATGGGAGAATAGTGGGAGTGGTCAGATCACATCCCAGCAGTCTCCTGCTCATCCACTCCTGGAAAAGACAGCTAAACCTTTAGACCCCCATTTAATGTCACAGGTAAAAGACTACCATGTTCTCTCTTGTTCCAATTGTCCCTTTTCCTAGGCAGCTTGGAAGAAATACCTCTTCTAGTGGCTTACATCTATTATTTTCTCATAATTATTAAAAGTGAGCAGGAGAGAAGGCAGGAAGCCAAGAGCAAGAGTGACAGGATACAGAGAAAGGAATACATGTAGCACCGGGAAACTTGCCTGCTTGTCAATACCTGATGCACTTACCAAATGGTCTTGATTAAAGTCTGACCATTGATTTCGCTACCCAAGAAGAGACAATGACAACACGCCTAACATCCAGAGTAAATGAGACTGAAGGATAGTTGTGAGAGAGACGTGAGATGGGGATGGGAGAGGAGAGCAGTTTCTGTTACTCAGATTTCTTCCTCACTCTCTGGTGCCTGTTGCAGAGTGTCAGATGAGATTTTTTACTTCTGAAAATTGTTTTCTGGGTCATGGTACAAAGGAGAAAATCTCCAGGCCTGGGGATGAATGCTGGGGTCCCAGATAATCTAGTTTTTTCCCACTCCCCTGCTCAAAATCAACTACATTTCAACTCTTGCTACCTTACCTGGTTGACCTGCTTGAGCCATCTGCACCCCACTGAGCATTGGCTGCTGCTGGCTTGGAGCTCCTGCCATCTGCACCTGCTGTAATCCTGATGCTCCTGCAAGGATTGTCCCGGCTCCTGGCTGGCCTGGCTGGCCAGGGCCACTGCTACCTGAAGGTCTCCAATTAGACAGTCCCTTCCCAAAGGCAACAGCTGCCACCAAGGCATTGGTGTCTGCAGGGTTAAAGGTCTGCTTGTTCGGCCGAAGACCTGAAGAAAAAGCAAGTGGGAACCCTGAAGAATGCCTCTGGCCTGGAACCGAACCTAGCAGCTGGAAGACCAGTGTGAATGCCAAGGTTTGGAGTCCTGACTTCAGCATCTAGACTCCCTCGCAGCACAGAGGAAGAGCCAGGGGACCCCCAAACCTATCTTAGAAGTCTCCCTTCTCACTGTCTCCATTTCCTCCACCTGCTCCAAGGCTGGCCTTAAGTACAAAAGGCTAACAGAATGGATGCAAACCCTTTCCTAAGCAGTTCATTCTTTTTTTTTTTTTTTTTTTTGAGACAGAGTCTCACTGTGTTGCCCGGGCTAGAGTGCTGTGGTGTCATCCTAGCTCACAGCAACCTCAAACTCCTGGGCCCAAGCGATCCTTCTGCCTCAGCCACCCCAGTAGCTGGGACTACAGGCATGCACCACCATGCCTGGCTAATTTTTTCTATGTATTTTTAGTTGTCCGATTAATTTCTTTCTATTTTTAGTAGAGACAGGGTCTCGCTCTTGCTCAGGCTGGTTTCAAACTGCTAAGCTCAAACAATCCGCCCGCCTCGGCCTCCCAGAGAGCTAGGATTACAGGCGTGAGCCACCGCGCCCAGCCAGCAGTTCATTCTTGTGTCCTAACTTTACTACTACCAAAGCCACCATTCCTATTCCAGTGCTCTTATACACCTCTCCCTCTCCATTTTGCCACCAGTCCCTCCATACCTCCACTCTCTGATTCTCGCTCCTCTTTGCTGATTTTCTCCAGAAGATTTGAGCACATTTTGTTCAAGCTCTGGATCTGCTTCTGTAACATATGGAAATTTGTGCAGAGATTAGAGTAAGTAGGAAATGACATGGAGAAGTTTATTCCTTGTGCTCTTCCAGAGGCAACTTATATATAACCAACTGTGTATCCCTACTAGACAGGAATGGTAATGCCTAGCTGCTCATGATGGGACAGGGACGAGGGCAGCAGGGCAGTTACTCAGTCCAACCTGAGCCGCATCGGCACCAATGCGGGCAGCATCTGTCGTCAGTTGCTTCTCCTGCTCTTCAACCTCAGGGTCAGGCTTGGTTCTCAGATGGTCAGGGACTACCTCATGGCTGAAAACAGGCACCCGTCCTTCAGTCTGCCGCTGTAACACACAGATTTTATTGATCCTACTATGCACTCAAGAAGATTCAATCTGGCCTGATACACAGTCCCTTCCACAGGCAAACAGTGCATTTTCAGGGAAAACACAACCTGAGATGCAATATCTAGCTTCCTAGGATACTGCCCCCTTCATTCCCATCTGTCATTTCTGTCTTCTCATACTGCTATCTCTATCAGACCTAGAGGCAAATTAAACTACCTCTCTCTGCTACATTTTAATCAAAGACTGGAATAGACAGTCACAAAAGGAGACTTTTTGGCTTGAGATAGACACTGGAGGAGAAAGGTCTCTGCCTTGGTGCCACAGGCCTCAGGTTATTACGGCACTATTTGGGAGTGCTCCCCCACCTCCAGAAGGACAAAAAGGCCTCAAAAATGCAGCCTTTGCTTCTTATTCCCACACACTACTCCACATTCAGAACTTCTAGAATAACTAATGAACAACTGTGGTCTAGGCTCTCATCCAATAACTTAATTTCCCAAGTTGTACCCTTTTCCTCCTCTTACCATGAGATCTTCATCTCGGTCTGGGGACAACACCAGAGGGATGATGACCTGGTTACGGAACAGTGGTGTCTTTTCATGCTTCAAGACCTTGTTCAGAGTGTTCAACTGTCCAGAGAGCAGGGCAAAGCTGTCCAGGACAGAGGGCCTGGTGGTGGTAAGAAGGTGTCAGAATGTTCTACCCCTTCCCTGGAGTGGTTGCCAGTAGTCTCGAAAGGGTCCTTCAGACTAGGAACACCCAGACTCACCCCAAAAAGTCTCATAGTCCTATAACTAGCCTAGGTGAGAACCAGATTGGCTAACAGGGATGATGGGGTTGGGAAAGAAGGGCACACTACACTTTCAGTTTCTGACACTGATGTGGAAAAAAGGCAGTTCATTGTCTGAATGAGGGTAAGGAATAGTGGCAAAATAGGAGTGAACCATGGCTACACTATTACCACTAAAAAGTTAGAAACTGTGTAAAAGTCACTTTTCCAGCCTGGAAATAGGATCCACACTTCCAGAGTAGGTTGGATTTAAAAGATTCAGCCACATCTGTGGCAAGAGATCCAGGATGAATAGAGCTGTAGTGGGAGGACCCATTGAGGGAGGACCTCCTCACTAGAGAAGTCACAAGGCAAGAATTAGAAGCTAGAAAGAACCTCGGTTGAGAAACTGAGCATTTCTCTACTTCCTTGCCATGGAACCCACTTGTTAAATGTTGCGAAACCCAGCTCTTTCCAAATCTAAAGATGTTTGCAAACTGATAAATGGTTACATCATTGGAAATGACCTATCCATCAGAAGGCCTGCCCCCCCACCCATGGAACCTTACCCAGCTTGCCCTGGCAACCCTTACCAGGTCAGCCTGTCATACTCGTTCTCCAACTTGTAAATGAAACTCCCCAGTGAGTTCTTCAGATCAGCCACTTGACTCAGCAGTGCATCTAAGGATGCCTCAAGCTGCTTCTCCTCCCTCTGCATCAACAGGAACAGTTGGTTACCCAGATAGACATGGACATGACACATACAGAGGAAGGCTAAAAAGCTAGACTGTGCAATGCCAGTCAGGTAACACAGGATCTCATTGGCATAGGATAGCCAGGTTGTTTTCTATCTTTCATATTTGGGTTACAGACAGCATCAACCCTTAGACTTTTCAACCTGTTCACCTGACCCTAAGTCCTCCCACCAACTGATTCCTTTCTCCCATCGTAAGCCATGCCTGGTTTTTCTCTGTATTAGGTACACCCTACTCTCCCTCATTAATGAGGGAGACCTAATGCAGACCTAATGCATGGGGTTCAATATCTCACATGCACCTCTGAAACACATGTACTCCAGCTTCCTCTGTCCTAGAATCTGCCTTATGAACCTGGATGTTCTCGTCATCAAAACGACTTCTGGGAAATCTGCCTACTCATGAAGGTTTCTCTGAATACCAACCTTGCACTCCCCTCTGGCTTCCTCCCACCCACCACCTCTTGGCATTTGATGTTTCAACCTTCTCCTTGCTGAATTAATTTGCACTTGTTTATCTCTATGTCAATATTCCTGTGCCTCTTTCTAGAGCTCAGTCAACCCATAGACATTTACTGAGAGACTACCAGGTACAAGAAACTAAGTGACAATGAAAAAACAAACAAACAAAAACCTGCATGTGCTCCTAGCCACTAGACAATTTTTTTTTTCTTTAAGATAAAGTCTCGCTCTATTGCCCCAGCTAGAGTGCAGTGGCATTGTCATCATAGCTCACTGCAACCTCGAACTCCTGGGCTCAGGTGATCCTCCTGTCTCGGCCTCTGGAGTTAGCTGGGACTACAGGTGTGTGCCACCACACCCAGATATATTTTTCTATTTTTAGAAAGTGAGATGGGGTCTCACTCTTGCTCAGGCTGGTCTCAAACTCCTGATCTCAAGCAATTCTCCTGCCTCAGCCTCCCAGAGCGCTAGGATTACAGGCATGAGCCACCGCACCCTACTAGACAAACAATTTTAAATGCAGGAGGTCTGCAAAGCATTTCCTTCCCATCTGTGGTCTCCTGTTTTACTTCACTTCTTCACCCTTAACAACTATCGGGCACAGGCTGGGAAGAATGATGCGAAACTGTCCTGCAAACCCGCCAATGTGCCTGACAGGAGCTTGATCCTGGGTTCCACCATGGCTTCAGTTTATAAACCGGTTAACTTTGGGCCACAGCGGCCCACAATTCCTTCACCTCCTCGGGCTTCTCTCCAATTATAGATCCCCTGTTATGTATGCATCCAACAGCGCAGGACAGGGCCGGAGCCAACCCACCACTTTCTTGAGCCGTCTTCTTGAAGTGAATCTCAGCCTTTCCAAATTACAACCTAATCCCTTCCTACACGCAAGCAAGACAGTGGTGCCTCCTCCTTCCGTATTTAGCCGGAGTCTGTCTCTCTCCTGTCATCCGGGCTCCGCCCCCACCTCTCATCTGCGCCGCTCCCTCTTCAGTTGGCCTCGTCCTCCATCCCACGTTCCTTATCAGCCGCGAAGTCTGCCCTCCCCTCTCAGTGTCAATTCTTCAAGTTCCTCAGCTAGCCCACTCTCGGTCCCGTTACCTGAAGCTAGCCAGCAACTAGTAAGCCCAACGCAATTCTCACCTGCATTGCGGCAGCCCTGCAAAACACCTCCTCTTCCGTTTTCCCAGACGGCAAGCGCCTCTGAGAGGGCTTCGATCACCAATCAGAAGACTTGGAACTCGGCCCTCCCACTCACTTCCGGTTCCTGCCGGGAGTCGAAGTAGCCAGGTCAGGGGTCAAGTGTGGAGCACTCTCACTGGCCCGGGCCGGCGCGGGAGGGCTGTGTGATGGCCTCGGAGCGCCCGGAGCCGGAGGTGAGGGGCGGACGGGCACAGCACTGGGCCCCGAGATCCTTGGGGGAGGGTCCGGAGGGCAGGCGTGGCATTGGCCTCCTCCGGGTCTAGGGCTGGCCGGGCCGCGTAGCCTCTCTGCAGGGACCCGGCCCATCCTTGAAGGCCCAACAATCAAACCTTCTCCCCGCGGTCCGCTGTTTCCTGGGGGCTGGAGGAGAAACTCTTCATTTTGTTTTGGGGTTTTTTTACTGAAATTTCATCCGCGTCTCAGACTCTTTGACTTCATGATAGTGGTATTAACAAAACCTGTGTTTTGATTTCTGTTGCAGTTTCAGTGGGCAACACGGCAATAGACTGACTTTGCCGGTTTCTGCATTTCTTCAAGCATTGGAATGCCATAAACAGCATGAATTAATTTAGTTCTAACGCTCATGCTTTTGGAAAAGCAGCTTTAGTTTCATGAAAAAGCCTTTGACTGGAACTGAAAGCTTTTTCCAATATCAGCGCTGTTATGTAGCTAGCTGTCTGTGTAACCTCGGGCAAGTCTTAACTTCCTGGATCCTGTTTCCTTCTTTATAAAATATTTGCCTTATAGTGTGTTGTGAGGATCACATGTGTCAAACCAGAAACGGCATATGAGGTAGTCTTTAGATGCAAAGGACCATACAAGGAACTTTATATACATTGTGTCATTCAGACTTGTGCAAGAAAGTTGGCAATATCCATTTTCATTTACAGAGAAGAAAACTGAAAAGTGAGAATGGTTGAGTACTTTACCCAAGTGCTACTTAGCTGGAGAGTAGCAAAGTTTTGGAGTTAGGAGATCTGAGCATAAAATCTCAGATTTGAATAAAAGAAAACACCACTAGGAGAGGTGCTAAGTACTACGAGAGAATATAGTAGTAGGTGGGAAGGGTGAGGGATGTGTATAATGATACAAATAGTAGTCATTACTTATTGAATACTGCATGCCAGGCAGGAGTCTAAGCACTTTACTGATATCAGTTAATCCTCTCAACCCTCTGAAGTGGAACTATTATCTAACTACCAAAGTTACACAGCTAGTAAGTATTAGAGCCAGGACTCCAAAACAGGTAGTCTGGCTCCAGAACTTGTGTTCTTAACCATAATGTTTATAGTATAAATAATAAAGTAGCCATAGGATGGTAAATCTCCAGTTCATTGGGATTTGGTGTGATAAGACCCAAGATTGAATATGGTTGTAGGAAACCGTGCCTTATTTAAAAGACTCAGACATGTTCACAGGTGGTAGAATAGCCCATGCATCAGAAATGTCGATATTGAGAAGAACCATGAAACAATTTGGAATATGTTTCGTTATGGATTAAAATGAGAGGAAATGGAGGGATGTTGTGTGGAAATGCAGCATACCTTTTATACAGATAGTCTAAAATGGCACTGTCCTGTAGAAATCTAATGCAAGCCAAATATGTCATATTAAATTTTCTAATAGCAACATAAAAAGTAACAAGTGAAATGAATTTTAGTGATTTATTTAACCCAATATTTCTAAAATGTCATTTCAACATGTAATAAATATAAAAAATTATGAGATATTTAGCATTCTTTTTTTGTACCAAGTCTTTAAAATCTAAGGCCGGGCGCGGTGGCTCACGCCTGTAATCCTAGCACTTTGGCAGGCCGAGGCTGGCGGATTGTTTGAGCTCGGGAGTTCGAGACCAGCCTGAGCAAGAGCGAGACCCCGTCTCTACCAAAAATAGAAAGAAATTAATTGGACAGCTAAAAATATATAGAAAAAATTAGCCGGGCATGGTGGCACATGCCTGTAGTCCCAGCTACTCGGGAGGCTGAGGCAGTAGGATTGCTTGAGCCCAGGAGTTTGAGGTTGCTGTGAGCTAGGCTGACGCCATGGCACTCTAGCCCGGGCAACAAAGTGAGACTCTGTCTCAAAAAAAAAAAATCTGGTGTTGTATTTTACACTTACAGCACATCTCATTTTGGACTAGCAACATTTCCAGTGCTTAATAGCCCCACAGGAAAGTGGTTACCATATTGAACAGTGCAGATCAAAGGTAATTTCCAGTCAAGATACAAAATCGTAGGAGTCTCATTCAGCCAAAAGTTAAGCATTCATTAAGTTTTTGATTTACATTTCTGAAAATTTTATCAGAAGGTAAAAAGAGTGAAGAGTTCTAGCCCTGGGGGTAATAAAGTGACTTAATTTTAGTGTTGTTAGGATCCCAAGAGAGAAAGATTGGGCATAGTCAGATTTAGGAAATCCTTCATTCATCAGATACTTGAAATATTTTATGAGTGTTACTGTGGACTGAGAATTGTGCTAAGTATCAGGGTGGATACACAGCAGCGTAAGACAGACATGTTCCCTGTCTTTGTGGAGTAAACAAGCACTAAGATAATAAGTGCTGTAAAGGAGTGAGTGAGGGTGTGTAACAGAGGATCTTAACCCACTCTTTTAAGAAGACAGGGGATTATGGATCAGGAAGACTTCTCAGAGGAATGACATTTAAGCTGAGGCCTGAAGAATAGATTATAAGAAGAAGCCAAAGCATTATAGGCAAAAGGAATGGTGAAGATCTTGAGGTGAGAAGGAGCTTGGAGCCTTCAGAGAACTGAGAGGAAGCAGCTCATAATGTGACAATGAGAATAGCTAACACTTACTGAATGCTTACTAAGTATCTAATACTCATAAAATTTTCATAAAATGGACACTATTATTATCCCTGTTCCACAGATGAAGAAACTGAGACTTAAAATCTCTATGCCAAAGCCAAATAGTTAATAAGCAGCAGGACCAGCATTTGATCCTAAGGGCTCTAACACTAGAATGCATGCTATTAGCTGAAGGGGGTATTGGTGAGAGAGAAGGCTGGTGAAGAAGATACAACTCAAAGCCATGATAGAGGTAGGACTTTGGAAGGCAGCTATGCTCATCACTATACCACCAACGCTGGCACAAGGTAGGACTTTGGTGTAAAGTGGTAAGGAGGCTTCAGCCAGTTTACAGGAGAAAAATCTACATTATTGTATGGGAGTATGTTAACAGAAGATAGCACAAGGGTTAGTTAGACAGCACAAAGATTAGAAAAGGCTCAAAAAATAATTTAGACCTTAATCACAAAAGGACAGGTGCAAAAAACAAAACAAATTAATGAGATGGACCATGTTTCATTCATCCTGGCATACGTAGTATGCAGCACAGTGCCTGGTAATGTTTTATTCATTACAAATTGTATAAATGGTATGTAGGCCTCAATAAATGTTCCAAAGAATGATAACCTTCCTCTTTCCTGTTCTGACTCTCCTGTTGAATTGCAACATCCCTATGAAGATATTCTTATCCACATGTTATGAATGAAGAAATGGAGGCCTGGAAAAATTAAGTAACTTGTCCAAGGTCACCTACATAGCAAGTAGTAATAGAGCCAGATTAGAATCCAGGTCTCTGACTCCAAAACCCTGCTTTATCTTTGCCAGACTACTCCAAGAGTACTGTACATCAGACTCAAAGGGGATTACTGTTGGGGACTCGAAGCTCCATATGAGTGCAGATGCTGCGAGAACTAATTCGGGATTCTCAAATGTTAATCTGGAAGAATCGCTTGGGGAATTTGTAGAAATGTAGATTCCTGAGCCCCATCAACTCTGAATTCACTTGGTCTGGGGTGGTGCCCAGGGCCCGAATTGGCATTTTAATAAACACCTCAGGTGATTTTGACACAGCTGGTCCTTGGATCCCTCTTTGAAAAACATTATTCTAGCTCCTTAAATTATTAAATCTTCTGGTTCTGATATGTTACATCTTGAAAGCAAAAACCTAAAGATGATGGTTTTTTGTTGTTTTATTTTTTTAGAGATAGGGTCTTGCTCTGTTGTTCATGCGGGAGTGCAGTGGTGCGATCACAGCTCACTAACCTCAAATTCCTGGGTTCAAGGGATCCTCCTGCCTCAGCCTCCCAAGACATGTTCCACCACACCCAGATAATTTTTTTATTTTTTGTAGAGATGGTGTCTGGCTATGTTACCCAGGCTGGTCTCAAACTTCTGGCCTCAAGCCCTCCTCTTGCCTTGGCCTGCCAAAGTGCTGGGATTACAGGCATGAGCCACCATGCCTGGCCTCAAGAAATGATGTTTTGAAAATATGGTTGTTGATTTTGAAGGATCATATGTAAGGGGAAATGCTGCAAGAACGCCAGGCAAATGTTAGGCACAGGTTCCTGGTTTCAGAAAGGTGGATTCTTTAAGAACTGACTGATGAACTAGATTTCATTTTGGCTTTGGATAATCCATCATTCAAAATAATCTTCAAGGCAAAGTGGAGAAATGAAAGCTGTACAGTAGTGAAATTTAGTGGCCTGCTAATAATTGGAGGAAAGCTTTCTAATAGCACTCTGTCCCCCATTTGATTTACCCCCATTCCCTCCTCACTAATCAAACCCTGCTCAACCTTCAGCATCATGTTCTCCTAAAGTACTAGCCTAGGCCAGGTTACTTTGTTATTTGTTGTCATAGAACCACATTCTTATCTCTTGGAGCACTTAATTAGTTTGTAATAATACAATAATTACAGTGATTATTTGATTAGTGCTTTTGTCCTCCATTATAAAGTAAGTTTTATGAGAGCAGGGAATACATATTTTTGCTTTCCATTGTATCCTTAGGATCTTGCCTAGTGCCTAGCATGTAGCAGGCTCTCTATAAATTTGTTGACTGAATGAATGAATGCATGCTTACTTTGCCTTTGTCCTTTCTGGAGTTGGATGAGGACCAGATGGCATTCTGATCAAATTAGCAGGGAAATTAAGCT